AAAAGGTTTGTGCAGGGTGGGGTGTTCTGGATTGGTATTTGGAAAATAGAAGTCAACCACCCAGAAAATACTTTTGCACTTCTACCAGCCAATGCAGAGCAACAAGATAAATGTTATATGAAATGTACCTTATTGGAAGCAAGCTGTGAAGGAGTACAAGATGCTTTCGGTGATGAGGAAAACATTTTATGCAGCAAATGTAGACTGCACAGGTGAGCTTATTAGCACTTTTCCTCCAGAAATATATTTCTATGCTGACCCTTTGCTTAGCATACATCTGTCAATACAAACGACACAGTATTTTACTTCAAACTCAAATCTGAGAAGAAATCTAACCAACTGCCGAATGCTTGACCTGGTTCAGCGCTCCTCACTCCAGGAAGGACCAGTGTCCAGGCAGCAGATTTTGTTTCTTGGGATGACCCAAGGAGATGACCCAAACCTGTTATCTGAAATCTGGTATCAAAAAGACAAAACCACTACACGCAAGAAGGGCATCTTCTCTTCACTCCCCACTCATAGTGAAGGAATGTGTCGGCCACATATAAAAGACTGAGGTAGCCTTTAGCAGAAAATGATATACTTTGATCAGGACAGAAAGTGAGAGCTGTTCAGCCACCTCAGTAGGTGACACAGAATAGGAGCAACACTTCCCTACAGCTTCTAGGGTTGCTGAAGTCCCTTCAGGACCTGTTTAGGGAGCATTTCACCCGCTCCAAGGGTTTGAGCAAGGCAGGTGCCATATAAGCAGTGCAAACACTAAGCGAGAAGCATCTGCAGTAGAAAACCAGGAAGCAGGAACATCGTCATGGGTTTCAAAGCGGTTAGAATACTAAATATACCATCTATGTTATATATATGTACACATAGATTTAGATAACCAAACATATAGGTATCGACAATAAATACCTAAAATTTATTAAAATGTATAAATAATAAAAAAAGGTGCTCGTTCAAAGTACCATATGCACAAATTAAGACTTACGTAAAACCAGAGGAAACTTTTCCTCAGACCACATGACCTTCAGGTACCTTAGGATCAGCCAAAGCCTTTTAATACAATCACGGTGTCTGTGACACTGCTCCAGAAAGGAAAGTGGCATTTCCAAGAGCTGCATACCAGTACACTGAATGCTAGATGGAGCAGAAACTTCTGGAAGGGAACATTCTTTGGGATTTATAAGAGTACATACAGCTCAGGAAGAAAATCTGGGAATGAACATCAGATTTCTTTGCAATTTAAAATAGAGTCATTTTTTTTCTCATGAGAAAAAAATCCTTATTGTGTAATCCCAACATCTAACCTGCTAGGCTGCCCAGACCAAAATTTATGAGTTTGATTAAACCTTCCTTGACTACAGATAGAAGAGCAAAGAGATAATTAATGGTCTGCAAACTGTGCCCTGCGCAGCTATAAAGAGCTACCAGAACAGACTAAGCCTCAGTCTCTAAGGCAGGAGCACAATTTTATTCCATGAATCTTGATTTCCAACACCAGAAGCAGCCAAATTGCGGTCTCAAAGCCACACGAGGCTTATAAACTGTTCAGAGTAACTTCCAGTCAACCCAGTATGGATGTGGGCTGCTTCTAGCGGCCCCAGCTGCATTGCCTGGGGTCCTGGGTGCATCTCGAGCTGCGTCCACCTACTTGTGGGGAGCAAGGTACGAAGCTGCCATTGAGGATAAGCAGGAGGTTGGCCCATTTGTACTAGTGCGCTCATCTTCCCACCAAATGGAGATTTTATGGGGTATAATCAAGTACGATTGGCTACAGCAGCCTTTCAGAAAGCTCAAATTTAAAAGTATTGTGCAACTATGATTGTGTCTGCTAACGCTCATAGGTTTAAAGCAACCACCGTAGACTTCCATTTACTGCCCAACGTGTTTCATTCCTATTATACAGGCATTATAAGAAGGTTTTAATCCAAAGCAGTGTTTTATTTTGGCATGCACATTGTAAGGCATGTACCTCGTGGGACTGCCTGTGCAGTATTTCAGATACCCCTCTGCTCAAGCTGGGGTGGGACCCATGCAGCTAAATGTGCGAGATGCCTCCCACTCTGGCCTCCCCGCTGTCCTTGAAGAAGGCTTTTCTTGGTGTCACCTGGGAACCTGCCTGATGGTGTCTTTCAAAAGACAACCTGCAGAGATGATCACACAGCTATTAACCTCTCTACTGCTACTGCTCAATATCAAGACTACATAGCCACTATTCTTTCATGAAAAGGAGAAATGATCGCATATGAGAGGCATTAACTTGGAAACCTCAGCGTTTTAAAATAACTGGTAGGTGTGGGGAGTACAATAGGATTAAGGTTCAAAAATCTACAGGCAGCTTTGTTTCCAGTTGTCCACAAGAGTTGGAGAGAAATTTCTCCATCTCAGACTCCATCATCTAAACTTTCTCCCTTGGTCACTCAGCTGTAGGGAGAAATACAGCTAATACCTCCCACAAAAGGCGTGTAATATAGTAATATCTGCCTCAGGTAAAAAGTTCCCTTCAGTCCTCCAAACACCCAGCACAGATCTCCTGCAACAACAGAGCCCGTTATAGACCGGCTGCTCTTTCCTCCTCTTCAATGGTCTAGTAAGAGGACTCAATCAAGAGACGAGGGCGAAGTAGAAATCAGAAACTGCTTCTTCTCATGTGCCACCAACATCAACAGTGTTCTGGGAGTAGGAATTCTTCTATTTGTTCTAGCTCGTGGTATCACAGCCATTTCCTGACCATCTTTTGTTAATAGGAATGAGCTTTTTGTGGTGTAAAGAGATCTTACTGATGCTCCTTTCTTTTTCAAGTCTTTGGTGTAGTGCGGGGAGCTGAGATCTGCCAGGAGCTGTCAGGAGCGGTAAACGGACAGACACAGAGGGAAGCAGACCCTTGTGCTAAGTGGAAAGAAAGTCTTTAGGAAGGTGGCCTCTGTCATCTCAAAGCTTCATCACATCTCCTGGTATCCCCTCCCCAGGGCTTGCTAACCAAGCCCTGATGAGGTACCATTTAAGCAAAGATCATTGGGGTGATTTCCTGGAGAATTGCTTGAATTTTTGCTCTGCCTGTAGCTCTGCTAGAGCCTGCAAAGCTCTTCAAAACTACAGAGCCAAATTTAGTCACCTGCATGACTACCATGCGTATTACATGCAAATGGATGAATCATGATTACAGCGCTCGGATGGGCGTCCCTTGCAAGGTCTGTCAAGAATCTGAAGACAGCGCTGGTGAATTAAAGGTCAGCAATGACCGTAAAAGCAATCCTGGAAGTTTTACCTAACGTATCTCACAACCCAACATGAGAAGCAGCAGAGCTGTGTGACAGAGCACTGCTGTTGGTCATTGCTCACCCTGTACAATTAATTGGAACAAGTTAGCGGTGGCCTGGATGTAATGTTTTAGTACCCAAAGACAGCAGAATAAATTATTGTGCTGGTGCCAACAGTTGGATATAGTTAATTACTGTGTTTACTGCAAAGCTGTTGCAACAGCCCAGCCCAGTTGTAGGGACATCCATAGATATCCCTGCTGTGTCACCCAAACAAAAAGACTAAAGTTGTGTTCAGTCACTTCATTGAGAAAGATTCTTCTTGATAAGACTGTCTCCAGCATAATTTCCTTCTTTAAGACAGGATGAGCAGATACAGACTCTTTCCTTATCTTACCATGCTCAAGACAAGCAGAAAGTGTTAATTATAGCTGGCTGATTCACGTAACTTTGAAACCTATTTCAAAGTGATTAATAACTTCGGGGTTATGAAGACCATTACGTGAACACACAAAAATAATTTTTGAGATGTAAAATGTTGCGACAATGCACTGGTAAAGCAAATCTCTCCACACTAAGAGCAGGGGAAGGACAATCTTCTTGCGACTGTACAGAAAGAACAAACACTTCTGTTTTGGTACCCTCTGTTTTCTTCAAGAAATGAATGTTCCAGGCTGCTTACCAGCAAATGATGATACTGCCAACCTTGCCAAGAGTAAATCTTTCCAGAGCCTGTTAAAATAGAGATTGCCATGCTGATGGTCCAAAGAGAGATTAGCTATGAAATATTTTAACCTTAAAAGAGCACGTGTCATTTGTATTTTCAAGTTGGCCTGCGAACAGGTTTAGAAAACCAGCTACCAACATTGAGAGAGGCAGGAGAAGTCCTGAACGCAAAACCTGTTTGGCAACATAGCAAGGGAGGAGATGGGGCCCCAATAATCTTAATAGAGGAAGTTTGGGCAATTTAGTAGATAACATATTGATAAAGGCAAGTGAGCAGACTCAATTGTTTCACATTTAGCCAGACTAAGGAAACAGTCATTGTTCACCGCCTTCCTTGAATAAACATCAGGATCCTCTCACCAGCACAGGACGCTATGGAATGAAGCAATGGCAGTGAGCACTTGGCCAAATTTATTCTCAAATTTTAATTTCAAGGTTGATGATTGCCTTCAGAGCTGGATGTGTTTTGTAGTTCAGAAGGGAGGGGTAAATAGCAGTGAAAAAACACACCTCATCTTAAATCAATTTATCAAAAAGCCGATGTTTCTGTCAAGTGCTGTGTTGCTTCTTAAGCATCTTTTTATAGTCTTCTCCAGAGACAGTTTTTTTTTTGTGTTGACTTTTGCTTTTTTTTTTCCGGGGGGGGGGAGGCCATAAAAGAGATTTTGGGGTCAACAAAAATCCAAAAGACATCCACAAAGGGCATGCTAGAATAGATTCCCATTAGTCAGACTTGAGGATAAAGCACAGAAAAGCTTCACTCATCAGGTTAGAGCAACTTCCCATTAATGTTATTTGAAACATTTTTCTCCCTTTTTACTGTAAATCTGTACCGCCTAGTCAGCATCATTCGACAGTCTGCACTCTTTTTTTACTTATTTTTGATGACTTATCCAGGAAACTGCAGAAAAGCTTTGATCTGGCAGTTGTCTTAACTTTAAAAAGTTCCAAAATACATTCTTCAGACTGGGCAGCAATTCTGTGTTTCCTTCCCCTCTGACTTCCAGCCCCCCCCCCCCCCCCCTCTTTT